TGAATATTATTTTAGACGTATTGAACTGTAATATTAATACTCCATAATTACTGTAATAAGTTTATAATTATGTTTATTATCAAAACACTAACATCAAAGTTAAAATGTTTGAGGTAATTGATAAAATATGTTATTTGCCGTATAAGTTATTAGTCATAATCATTAAAATGAACTGAATGAATAAAAGTCTATTAAAATAAAAAGCTAAATTTGTTTCATATTGCGAAATTTAGTTAAAATAAATTGTTTCTAAAAATAATTGTTTATAAAAGATTCTCTTAGAACTTCTTGGTTTTTAATATGAAAATTCAAGAAACAATAACTATTTCACGAATTACGAAGTTATCTGGCAACATAGCAAACGCGCCAAAATTTATGTTCAACGTTAAGTATATGGATGTTTACGGTTCGGGCACTTGCATATAACTGACTATTGGCTCCTCCCTTTATCCATGAAGTGACTTTGAACGTTGCAGCTATATCTGTTGAGTTATAAATTGTCTAAGGTTTTCTTACTCGGTTCTGGTAGTCACTACGCATATAGACGATAAATAACAGTTTTGCAAGCAACTCAGCCAATAATTTTTGCTACCGTACAACAAATTAAAATAGGAATTAGAAATCTTTTAGAAGCAACTTTCTAATTTCCTTTACATATCAACAATTCTCCCACTATAAGTATCTTTCTGTGTGCTTCGTTGTTATTGAACATGACAAAATAATGAAGAGGTCTGTGATTACTACCCATTTTGGATAATTGATTAAAATATCCTTGAATAATATTTTAAAATTTTATATTTTTTAAGGTAATCTTATTTAAACATCTTTATCCAGCTTTCAGTATTCATAAAAGATATATATTCACGTGCTATATCAAATATTAGTAAACTATTATAAATTTTAAAACTTGTCATTAACAAATATCCATTTACAAAGGATTAGAATATTGTTTACTTCGTCGCTATATATAACCCATAGAGTTCTGTTCCAGTTCTAATAGTTTAACTGCAAAGTATCGGAGATATCCTCGCAAGTTATTTTCTGATCATACGTCCGCTCGAATGAACATTTTGTGATCTAATAAGCGTAGGATTTTAGTAGAAATCAGCCTTTGAATTATGTTTTATGCTCCAATTCCTGCTTATCTAACATGAAGGACGGTATGGAGGACTTGGACGGTACTTGGAGAATAAATTTTAACTTAACTTTAATCTTTGCAAAAGTTTTAGAATATCTTATCTCTACATTTCTTTAATGATTGGTTTTACATCAATAAGACTAATAAGTAAGACAATTAACAATTTTAACTAGTTAATTTTTATATTTCTTTGTTATAGATGTCTTGAAAAAGAATTAAATAAAATTCGAAAGCTTGACAGTAAGCCAAAGAGTTTTCTTTGTCTTGTGGGCCAAATAGACTGGATCCTCAAAAATCATAACTTATATTTAAATCAACAGTCAATAAAACCACCATCTTATATATATATATATATATATATATATATATATATATATATATATATATATAGATAATATATATAAGATATATAAGATAATATATATATATATATATATATACATATATGATTTACCTGAATGCGGTTAAAGAGGGAGGTAAATAATTTTTATTTTTATTCCATAAGTATTCACACAATATATTTCATAAATATGCGCCGCACTGTATAAGTTATCATCTTTGCTGCTCTCTACAATGGTTTTTATAAAAATCAGCTTAAGCTCTGATTTCATATTCATACCTCAACATTTTGGTGCCATTTGGGACGCGTTTTGATGTTCTCGCTTGAATTCTATTACCACGTAGATCTAAATTTCGTTGGAAACACCTTTTTGAATGTATATCACACAGATAAATCTTCTCTTTATTGCGAGTTTATAGTGCTTCATGCCTGAAATGGACAGGTAGTGAATACCGCATGGGATATTCGCATAAACGCAAATCATTCTAAAGTTGCTGTTCTGGATAGAAATGAAACTGCGATAGAGAAGTTTATTTAGCACTTGACTTATCAAATTTGATAAACGTTTACTTTGTTTCTGTAAACTTTATTTTTAACACCTTCCTAAAAATGATAAAAATATTATTCGTTTAGGTCTAATTCTTCAAAAATTTTCAATTTTTATTTGTAATTTCTTTATTTTATTAATTAACTTTTATCTTAATTTTGGTTTGTTTGTCTTTGTACGTGTACTAAAAAATTGAGATGTTTTTTTATGGCAATAAAAAATTTTTATGAAAAGAAATGAAATATAAAATAACCTGCTGTCAATATACTTAACAAATACAAGGCCATTTTGAACCTCGCATTACCATTTTATAGAAGAAAAGCTTAAAACAACACTTTAATATACAGTGTGGAAACCACTTATGGAATAAAATTATTTGTGTCCTTATTTTAGAAAATAATAAAAAACGTTAAAATACCTTAAGGGAACGACCCCTATATCATAAAAGACACCAAGTTTTGGCATTTGCGGATGATATAGTGTTGCTGTCAAGAGGAAAAAAAAGCTACAGGAGATAGTACAGAGAATAGTAAAAGCAGCAAAGAAAATGGGACTTTACATAAATGAAACTAAAACAAAATGTATGCAGTGGACATATGATCAGTTTAGGGAGGGACAAAAGTTTAAAGTAGAAGTAAAATAAAGATCATCATACGAATTCGAAGTGGTAGAAAGATTTACATATCTAGGTACAATAACATCACGTAAACCTAACATTAACGAAGAAATACAAGCTAGAATAATGGCAGGCAATAGAAGTGTACATGCTCTTAGTGGAATGTTGAAAAGCAAGTTTTTATCAAGAAAGGCAAAAATATAGTTATACAAAACAACTATACAACCAATAGTAACATACTTTAGTGAGACGTGGACAATGACAAAAAATGAACAAAAGTTACTGGAGATATGGGAAAGAAAAATCCTGAGGATGATATATGGAGGAATAATAAGGGACAGTTTATGGATAAGAAGATCAAATGATGAGTTAAAGAAATTATATAATCAACCTAACATAATAGGAGTCATAAAGGCACAGAGACTAAGATGGCGAGGTCACCTAGAAAGGATGCCGAAAACAAGGACTCCTAAAAGCGTACTAAACTACACTATAACTTTAAAAAAGAGAAAAGGAAGGCCAAAAAATAGATGGAATCAGGAGGTAGAAAAAGATATGGAAGAAATTGGACTAGACTACCAGAAAAGAAAAATGAATAACAAGAAGGAATGGAGAAAAGTCACATATCGAGCCAGAGAAGATATCAGTACATAAAGGAAAGCGAAAATGAAGAAAAAACAAAATTTTTAAGCCATGGGCCTCTAAGGCCTTTAGTGCATTTATCCTTTCTTGATAATCTTCAATGCTAGTTGGTTGTGTTGCATAATGAAGTGTTGCATAGTTCTGCTGGAACCAGACAGTTTCATGCGGTGAGGTTGGATCTATTGAATTGGGATATAACTAAGCCAACTGATAAAGAACATCGTCTCTTAGCATATTTCTCCGCTGCCAAATTACCATTTACAAATATAGGATCAATAATATGGTCTCCTATTATACCTGCCCAAGCATTCAACATTTGAAGATACTGAGGATTCTGAGGATTCTCCGCTGACCAATACTTAGATTTTTGTCGGTTTACCTCTTTGTTCAATGTAAATATTGATTTATCAGAAAAAAGAATTGTGCCAAGAGTTATTTCATTTGTGTTAATTGTATCATCATTTTTTCGCAGAAATCCATTTTACGATCTGGATCGTCTTCTGTTAGCTCCTGCACAAAAGTCAATTTATATGGATAAAGTTTTTCTTCATGGAGACACCTTAGGACAGTTGTGTGACTCTGACTTGTGTGACTTTGATGTGCAATTTTACGTGAACTTCACGTTGGATTCTCTGCCACACTTAACAAAACATCCACTTTCACCTCATCTTCAGTAAAGTTCGGTTTTTTTTTATTTAATGCTTTAACATGTCCAAGTTTTCTGAATTGTACATAAATTTTATACGCAGTACCTTGTAAAATATTAGGCAACTTGGGATACCTCTGATTAAATGAGTTTGCTACTTCAACTTGACTTCTACAATTCTCCCCGTAACTGATCACCATCTCAATTCGGTGGGTCTCAGTTAAATATTTCACTTTAATTTCTGCAAGAAATTAGCTTTTAATAAGGAATTTATTATTTTACTGCCCTCTATTTTACCTTTAAGGATCAGTTGTATTATTTTATATCGACTTTCCGCTACTAGATATCTTATCTTACTAGATAAGACATTGTTCGGCATGTTTAACAGTCTTTAGCAGTTATCTATCTTTGTTGACGCTCCTTAGTACTTCTTCATTAGTTTTCCTTGCTGTCCAAGGTATTTTCAGCATTCGTGTATGAACCCACATTTCCAATGCTTAAATTTTGGTCATCATCGATACTTTTAGTGTCCACACTTCTGCACTATACAAAAGTATGGGCCAAACATAGCACTTAACCATTCTTTATCTTAGTTTTAAACTGAGATGATTATTGCAGAGAAATGACTTCATTTTCATAAAAGTAGTTTTAGTCATTGCTATTCTACGTTTCATTTCTATGTCTGGATCTAGTTGGTCCTTTATTACAGTTTCCAAATATGTAATTTTGTAAACTTTCTCAACTTGGACTTTGTTTAATTGAAGCTTTGCATCGGGATGTGGGTCACGACTAAACACTAAAAATTTGGTTTTGTTTGAGTTTATTTTAATACCCATTTCCTCTCCTACCTCGTGTATACGATCAAGCAGAATTTAAAGACCCTCAATATTATCTGATAGAATTACTGTATCATCTGCATATCTAATCACATTAAGTAGTTCCCCGTTGATTTTTATTTCATATGGTTGTCTCTCAAGTGCCTTTTTAAATAACTGGAGTAAACATTGAATAATGTTGGCGACAAAATGCAACCTTCTCTGACTCCTCGTTGTATAGAGATTTCATCGGTATACTTATCTCCAAATTTTACTATTTCAATATTTTTTAATATTTGCATTAATTTTACATAATGTACTTTATCGAATGCCTTTTCGAAGTCCTTAAAACATGCAAATACATCTTTTATTTGGTCACGACATTTTTGTAATAGGGTGTTAAGCGCAAAAAGTGCCTCCCTGGTTCCCATAGCATTTCTAAAACTAAATTGGATATCTTCAAGATATTCTTGGCATTTGCGTCTAACTCTGTTATGAAGTATTCTGAGGAAAATTTTAAGAGTGACTCTCATTAGGCTAACTAATCGATATTCTAAGCATTTTCTTGCATTGTGTATTTTAGGTATTGCGACAAAGATGGATTTGAACCAATCTGTGGGAATCACTCCGGTGAATAAAAGTCTTACTACTACTTTTATGTTAACATTCTCTTTCAGTTTCAGCAAGTCAGTTGGTGTATCATCTGGACCACAAACTTTTCTAATTTTAGCATTATTTATAGCATGTTCTACTTCGCATTTCATAATTTCTGGGCCGTCAGTACAGTTTTGGAAGAATTCGGCAATATTCATGTCATCTTCAAACAACTCTGATATATACAGCTGCTATTCTTTTCTTATTTCGTGCTCATTTACAATAATTTTGATATTATGGTCAACGAGTACAGAGAGAACTCGTTTTTTAAATATGTTACTCATTTCTTTTAGTTTTTTGTGCACATTAAATAAGTCGTGTTTAGATATTACATCCTCCATTTCGTCGCACCATTCTCTCATTCATTTTCTTTGGCTAATTTGATCTCCTTTTTTATTCTTCTCTTCAGGTGTCTATAACCTGTTTCATTAGATTTTATAAGTCAACGTTGTTCCATTAATTTCAAGAGGACGTCTGTCATCCACTTATTTTTCTTGATTAAGTTTTTTCTATAATCATTGTTTGTGAAGATTTCGTTAATTTGGTTTTTAAATTCACTTCATAGTTCTTGTGGATCATCCACTTGTTTTCTGATGTTATTTATTCTATTGTTAAATTTTTTTTTAATGTTATGTTTTATGTTTATATCGTCAAAGTTAAGTACATTGGTTTTTGGTTTTTGTTGCTGAATTCGTTTTAACCTTAGTTTAATATCTGCTACAAACGGTTGATGATCAGATCCAATATCTATCCCAAGAAATGTAGTGACGTTTTTGACGGCATTTCGGAAACGTTCATTTAGTATATAATCTTTTAGTAGAAAAGTATATGCTCGTTTTGATTTCTTGAAAACTTAGGGTTATTGCCATCATCAAATGGGGCTTTCTAAGTGTATAGTCGTCGCTTGGGTAGTTTATACCAGGTGTTTGCGATGATCATATCGTTTTATTTACAAAATTCATACAATCTGTGTCCTCAATCGTTAGGTTGTCCGAAACCATAAGGACCTACAGTCTGACCTCGTCGACCTTTCCCAATTTTTGCATTGAAGTCGCATATAATATATAAAATTTCGTGTGTATTAAGAATCTATAAGATGTCTTGGATCTGATCATATAACTTATCGACTTCATATTTTCATATCGTCATATTTTCTATCTGCAGTTGGGACATAGATTTAAAGTATGTTAGTTTTAAATAGTTAAGTATTTATTTGGAGAATTATTATTTTATCCAAGACTGGTACGAAATTATTAACATATATTGGTTTCCACACTGTATAAAAATTGCTTTAATATATTCCGTCTGAAAATTATTGATATTACAGTTTTTACGAAAAAGCTGATAATACGTAACGTATTGTCACAAACCAGTGGCAGAGAATTTTACTATTATTTGAATCTTTTTTTATGTCGGAAATTGCTTAACCAAATGATCACTAGCGAAAGATTAGTTCGATTAAAAATAAGTTTATATAAGTTTTGCACTACATTAAATTTTGTAGTACATACAATCTTTTAAATAATTTTTAATATTGGTAAAATTTCAGGTCGAGCCTAAAACTTGCGGCAATAGTTTTTAGCGCAGTAACTCTGGCGGAAATAGGTCCTTACTCCTTACCTTACAAATTCGGTCAGACTGCTTACATTTAGCTGAAAATATGAATTTAAGTTTGTCTTACCCTCCGTTGCAAAAGTTATATATGAGTAAAGTATGATTTTTATTTGTAAGGGTTAAAATTAAGTGGGGAAATGGGAAAACATGTATTTAAGCGTTTTATGTATTAACATCTGATTGAACTGTAATTTGTGTGATTGTGAATGATTTCCAAAAGCCCATTTCCATTAAGCATAGTACAACCATGTACAACTGTTTCCTAAGCAAAGTGGTATTAATACTTATTTGGTCCTATTGTCATTTTGGTCCAAATAACCTAAACTGATTATCGATCAGATCTTTTTTTAAATTCAGATAACATTTATCAATTACTTAAAATTTCTGTTTTAATATATATGTACGTTATATGCCCACATCAAGTAATTAAAAATACTAAATCGAATTAAAAGTAATCGATAATGTTATTGGTGCATTTATATGTGCCGTTGTTCTATTTTCCGGTGAATAAACCGCGTTACAGTTTATTATCTGACAGAAAATTAATCATACGGAGTAATATAAAAGATTATGAGATTATTTTACTCATTAATAGCAGCTATTAAATTTAACAGGATTATATGGAGGCTGAATTTATATACAGCGAGTACGTAGACATATAGGAAAAGTTGTTTTGTAAACAACTGTAATCAACAAATATCTTTGGTGTGATTAGTGAATAGTGGTATCATTTTTTTTCTTACATGACGCATCAACGACGCAGGTCTATTAGTGTGTATGGATTGTGATACAGAGTTGGAACTCAACAATAGAATATTAGCCATAGCAATACATAATTAGAAATAAACCTAAATCTATACAAAGTAAATCAACATACACGTACACATACAGTAAAATACACGTGGCAATCCCCTCAAAATAGACATCAAGGTAGAATAGTACGGAACCAAATAGACTACATCCTAATAAACCACCGATTTCGAAACAATATTAAAGATGTAAAAACTTACCCCAGCACTGACATAAACTCAAATCACAATTTACTCTGCTCCAAAATACAAATTAAATTAAAGAAATTAACAAAGCCAACTAAGCCTTGTAAGATATATCTCAACCCCCTGAAAAACCCTCAAACGCGCGAACACATATCACAGCAGATAAATAGTAAAATACACAGAATATCAAATATACCAAACGAAAACAGAACCACTAACGAATGCTGGTATGGTATTCAAAACTCGATTTTAGAGAACGTACAAGAGTCTTTGACAACACCGACCTTCAAAAAAAGGCATCAGTTTCAACCTCCACAAGAAACTTAAATATACTGCCGGAATTAGAAAACAGAAAAATGCTCACATACTTAAAAGCGCGGATGGAAAAATTTTTAATCACGAACAACAATGCAAAGAATGGGAGAGATGCATCACTGACCTTTTTAACGATGCTTCTAGAGAAATTGCTCCAAATACTGCCTGTGACAACCAGTTTGACAGAGGTCCCAGTATACTGAATTCGGAAGTCAAAAAAGGAATACAGCAAGCCAAAAATAATAAAGCACCTGGACCAGATCAAATCCCTGCTAAGCTACTTAAACTTTTGGATGAGAAAAGCATTGCCTGCTTAACCACTTTCTTCAACAAAATTTACAACGAAGGAAAAATACCAGATGATTGGTTAGAGTCACTGTTTATAACATTACCAAAGAAAAGTTTAAATTAAAAAAAATTAAATTAATCAGTTTGATGAGTCACGCACTGAACATACTCTTACGAATTATACGAAACCAAGTATTCCTTCTATGCGAAAATAGGATGGGTAATAAGCAATTTGGATTTAGAAACGGTCTAGGAACTAGAGAGGCACTATTATGTATGCGCGTTCTATTATAAAAAAGTTGTGAATTCCGAAATAATGTTTATGTTTGTTTCATCGACTTCTAGAAGGCGTTCGACAGAGTACAACACGATACACTTTTCGATTGCCTACGGGCAGCAGGACTTGATCACTATGATATAAGACTGCTGAAATACTTATATTACAATCAAGTAGCCTCTATCCAAATTGGAGACAGTCCGACTAAAAAAATAGCCATCAAACGTGGAGTACGGCAGGGTTGTGTTTTGTCACCCACTATTTTAATCTGTACTCTGAAGAAATCTTTAGGAAGGCTTTGGATGAGACACAAAAGGGAGTAAGACTAGGTGGAGAAATAATCAACACTATGAGATACGCTGACGATAAAGCCATTCTTGCAGAAAATTGACAAGATCTCCAAACATTACTAAATCTAGTCGGTGAAGCAAGTTATCGGAGAGGCCTTAAAATCAACATTTCAAAGACAAAGTGGGTGGCAGTTGGAAAGATCAATATAGATCAAGATCTGATTTCTCTTAATGGAGAGGAGATCGAAAGGGTTAATCATTTTAAATACCTTGGCAGCTGGTTAAATGTAAATTGTGACTCTGATGAAGAGATAATAACCAGGATAGAAATATCACGTAAGACTTTTATGACCTGGAAACCAGTTTTATGCAACAAAAACCTGTCGATGAATATTCCTAAGAAGGTCCTGAAATGTTATGTGTGGTCCATCCTATTGTATAGTTGTAAGATATGGACGTTAAAAACCACAATGCTAAACAAGTTAGAAGCATTCGAATTGTTGTGCTATAGACGAATTCTAAAGATATCGTGGGTTTCGCATACTTCCAATGAAGATATTCTTCAAATGATCAATTCAGAATGTCTACTCATAAACACCATAAAGAGAAGAAAAACAGAATACTTCGGCCATATAATTAGAGGACCTAAATACCATCTACTTCGCCTTATAATACAAGGAAAAGTGGAAGGAAAGAGATGGGTTGGTCGAAAGAAACTTTCATGGCTGCGTAATATTAGACAACGGTGTGGTTCCACAGTAGAAGAATTATTTCGCGCAGCAGCCGACAGAGAAAGGTTTCAGGAAATTGTAAACATGATGACGGACAACGTCTGAATACGGACACGGCACCCAAAGAAGAAGAAGATACAAAGTAAAATATTAGATTTTTGATAACAGCTTGCAGTCTTTGAAAAAGGCGAAAATGTTTTTAGTATCACTGTCTTTTCTAAGAGCACTATTTAATGTTTTACCGTTTTACCGTTTTAATGTTAATGTTTTAAGACACTTTAACACATGTCACACTGTATGTATGTCACACTGTGAGTATGATCAATCAGGAGACGAGTGTGGAGCCTTTTAAACTCTTAAATTCTTCAG